GCCAGATTATTACCACCTGACGTTTGTAGGCAAATTAGCCGTACACTGCATCATGTGGGATATGGAAGCCGAAGGCCTGTTCAGACACCTTTGCTGTCTGCAGTTACCAAGATAAAACGTCTCCAATTTGCAGAGGAACACAAGGATTGGACAGTCGAGCATTGGAAAAAAGTCACGTGGTCCGATGAATCACGTTTCCAGTTGCATCATGCAGATGGCAGAGTGAGAATTTGGCAGAAACAGCATGAAAGTATGCATCCCACATGCATGAGTACAACCCTTCAAGCTGATGGGGGCAGTGTTATGGTTTGGGGCATGTTTTCCTGGCATGATTTGAGCCCTTTAATTCGTGTGGAACAACGTCTGAATAGCACAACATACCTAAGTATCATTGCTGATCAAGTTCATCCTATCATGTTGATGGCATATCCCAATGGAGATGGCTTCTTCCAATAAGACAATGCGCCATGCCACGGTGCTCGTATTGTGCAGGAGTGGTTTCAAGAACATGAGGGAGACTTTACCTTGCTTAGGTGGCCCCCACAATCACCAGATCTCCATCCAATTGAGCATTTGTGGGACGAAGTTAAAAGAGCCATCAGGCAGCTGGTTCCACAACCATCAAATCTCACAGAACTGGACAGTGCTATTCATCAGGCATGGTGTCAGATTCCTCGCATCACCTTTCAACATCTCATGGAATCAATGCCAAGAAGAATCACCGCAGTATTGAAGGCAAAAGGTGGCCCAAAGAAGTACTAATGGGGTGGTCATAATAATCTGGCCACTCACGTTCAAATATATCCTACGTTCAAAGGCTGTAAAATCGCGTTGTTTACCCATATCTTCAGAAAAAAATCACTTCTGTTGTGGTAAACAACCTGTTTCCCTATTTATAATGGTCTGGCCCTCTAGCAACTTCAGTGTGAAATTATAGCTAATTTGCCTACAAACGTCAGGTGGTCATAATAATCTGGCCACTCAGTGTATGTTTTTATTGATTTCAGAGAGGAAGGGAGAGGGAAAGAGATAGAAACATCGATGATGAGAAAGAACCATTGATTGGCTGCCTCCTGCACGCCTCCTACTAGAAGTCAGGCCCACAACCTGGGCATGTGCACTTGACTGGAATCCAACCTGGGACCTTTCAGTCCACAGGCTGACGCTCTATCCACTGAGCCAAACCAGCTAGGGCATATCTCTTCCATTTTTGAGTGGCCAGAACTCAAGAATATGCTGTGTCTTTGTTCCCCCATCCTTGACCTTCTCCACCCATGCCTTCAAAGCCTTGTTCTTCCAAGAGGTAACCTTAAGCTTCTGGTTTTGTAGATGTCTTTACCTGAGATCCGACAATGTGGTAGAAGGCAACTGTGCTGAAGAACTACTACGGAACTCCCATCGAGTTGTGGAGGAGTATTTTGTGGCTCCCCCAGGTACGTGTTTCCCAAAGTTTAACAAGCTTGTCCCACAGTAAATTAAGAATATAGCAGGAACTGTATATTCCCCAAATAGAACTGGGGTGGAGACGAGTATGTCCAGTAGCAAATCTGAAGCTCAAGCTCTACCTAAAGGGGCAACTGGCATTCACTGCTTCTCAGGCAGGAATGTCCCAGAGAACCTGGACATCTGGCATTTTGTGTGATATTTCCCAAATTTTAAGTACTGGCAACTAATTAAAAAAAAAAAAAAGACCATGCAAATAAAACAATAAAACATACCTATAAGCCAGATGTATTCTGTGAGCTATCAGTTTGCAACCCTTGGTGTAAAAATCTGCATTTTTAAACCTCACTGCAACTATTTTAAGTGGAAATTTAAAAATAACTCTGGGCCAGTAATAAAACCCAGAACTTTGGGTGGGTTTTTTTATTTCCTCTGCAGCTAAGTGGGCCCTCAGAGCTTCTGCATACGTCTAGATATTTGTAGCCTAAGCACTCAGGTAGATGATTTTCCAACGCCAACCTTAAGTTCAGGAGATCCCTTCAGCAGAGAATCATTCCAAGCATTGTCCAGGGCAACATCAGCCCTCCAGCTCAGGGATTACCTCTTTGATCAAGGCCAACCAGTTAAAGGAAGGCTCTGGTTGAAGCAAGGATGGGAAGGAAAGCTAAAACATGTGTGAACTCTAAACCATGCCTGATTCACTAATCCGCCTCAGTTAACTGTGGAGAGAAATAAGGCTTCTGAATCTATCTCGGAGCCTAACGGCTATCAGTTTCAGCAGACATCCACTGATCACATGTTACTTCTAAACAGAACCTTGTGTCAGACTGTTTCTTGGGACAAAGTGAGTTCACAGTCATAGTCTTCCCTCCCTTCCTATATGCATATACAGTGGGGCCTTGACTTACGAGTGTTCCGACTAACGAGTTTTTCGAGATATGAGCTGTCTCTCGATTTTTTGCTTTGAGTTGCGAGCTAAAATTCGGGTTACGAGCCAGCTTCAGATACCCCACGCTAGTTGGCCCAGCGAACGTCACAACATCAGCCCAGCATCACGTGTCTCACTTGTTCACTTTTTGATTTGACATACGAGTAATTTGAGTTACGAGCTCCGTCACGGAACGAATTAAACTCGTAAGTCAAGGTCCCACTGTAGATGGGTAATTAACATGAATCTGCTCCTTATTGAAAAGTGCATTACTTAGGCTTCACTTATAACTGATACTTTCAGAAAAACAGGTTGGTAGCTACACTTACTTTCATTGTTTATTTTCCATGACAAACCAATGATAAGTTAGCTCAGAAGAGCCAGCTGGGAAAGCAGGGTCAGCTATAACATGCTTCTTTATTATTATTTTCAAACAGGTAATATCTCTTTGCCAAAGCTGGATGAACAAGAGCCCTTCTCACCGAGCTGAAGAGCTATTCTGGGAAGGGGAACACTGTGAATACATGGAAGCACGATAGTATTTTGTTATTATGAATACTAAAGTGCCCACTTCCCTCAATAACCAGAAAAAATTGATGATTAAGTATTTTTCTTAGTAATTAACTCTTCTGAAGATAGAACTGGGAAAGATCTAGCCAAAACAAGGCAATGTGTTCCTGAAGTTAAGGTATTGTCTACTTCCAATGAAATATTCACTTTGGAAGATATTATCTCCTCCCAAAATTGTCTACCCAATTGTACTTAAGTGAATTTTTTTTAATATAATCTGTTAGACATTGTATCTGACCACAGTGTGATAACCCGAGTTGTCCTTTTTAGTTGCTGTTTCCATTGACCTGAGCACCCTTTTATCTTTACCAAACACACTTGAGTTTGTTCCTGGGTACCCACTTTGTTCTGAACAGAGGGTTAACTTTCTGCTAAATTCTGAAGAGTGTTCAAAGTAGACTGTACAGCTTTGCAATTCCTGACATCCATCCCACAAAGTGATTACATGCAAAGGGGATATTAACCACACATACAGTTTTACTTTCTGAAAAGAACTTAATGGCTTTGATGGTGGTGGGTTCAGGGGTGTATACTTAACCCCAAAGTCATTAAGTTGTATATATTAAATATTTTTTTACATGTTATACTTCAGTAAAGTGGGTTATGTAAAAAATATAGCCCCAGGCCTGGGACATAGTTGACCCCCATAATTACTGAATTGAGCAGAATCCAAGATGGTGTGTTCACACACACACACACCCAAGACTTTTTTTTTTTTTTTAAACTCACATACCTCATAGATACAGAGAGTGGACTGGTAGTAGCCAAAGGGGATAAGGGCTGGGGGACTGGGTGAAAAGGGTGATGGGATTGAGAAGTACTAATTGGTAGTTACAACATAGTCACGGGGATGTAAAGTACAGCAGTCAATATTGTGGTAACTGTGTATGGTGCCAGGTGCGTACTGGAAATATCAGGAGTGGAGAGTGGGGAACACTTTGTAAAGTACATGATTGTTTAACCACTATGCTATATACCCAAAACCAAGACAAAATAATATTGAAAGTAAATTATAATTGAAAGATAAAAAATTTTTTAAAGTTCAGGTAGCAAGGATAAATGAGACATATTTAGAAGTAAAAGTGATAGACCCTAGCTGGTTTGGATTAGTGGGTAGAGTGTTGACCTGCAGACTGAAGGGTCTTGGGTTCGATTCCAGTCAAGGGCACATGCCCGATTTGTAGGCCCGATCCCCAGTAGTTCAGGAGGCAGCTGATCAATGATTCTCTCTCATCATTGATGTTTCTATCTCTCCCTTCCTCTCTGAAATCAATAAAAATATATATTTAAAAGAGAAGAAAAAAAGAGAACCTGAACTGCCCTTGGGATAGAAGTTCTCAAACTATCATCAGAGCAACTACCTTAAAAAATATATATAATTGATACCAGAGAGGGAGAGAGAGAGATAAAAACATCAATGATGAGAATCATTGATTGGCTGCCTCCTGCACGATCCCTACTGGGGATCGAGCCTGCAACCCAGGCATGTGCCCCTAACCGGAATGGAACCTAGGACATTTCAGTCCGCAGGTTGATGCTCTATCCACTGAGCCAATCTGGCTAGGGCAGAGCAACTATCTTTATCCCCAAAGTTACCCATTCCTGCTCCTTACCAACTGAGCACAAGCTATCACTACAACTCAGTTATTATTTTTAATCAGTATGCCTGTTTGGTGAAATCTATGAACTTAATCAAGGACAACCACACATGTCAATTATGAAACATTTAAAATATATTTCTAAACAGAATGGGTCCATTTAGTCACAGTAACTGCTGATCTCCATAGCAGAGCAACCCACAAACACATAGCACTGATTTTTTTTTTTCCCATAATCAGGGGTGAAAAATATACAACTTGTTTCTGAACCAAAACCACAATTTCTGCAGTTGAAAATGTTTCACTGCTAATATGGCCCTGGTAGAAATTATGTACTTTTATTTCCTTTAAAAAAAATTAAAAAAATTTTCTAAGACACTAAATCATCAATCTGGAATGTAAATTCTGAGCACAAAGCAGCTCAGTTCGCCTAAAAAAATAAAGAAAAAAATTCCCATCACCTGTTTCAGTAGGGCCTGAAGGGAGAGAAGTAGTGTGGGGAACCCCTGCTTTGGTATGGAGAGTCACGGCCTCTTGACCCAGACCGAGACCGTGAGTAGCCATAGCTGGTGCTTCTCTCTGGATAAACTCTGATGTAGGAAGTTTCACCCTGAAATTCAAACAAAAAGAAAAAGGTAAAATAAGACCCAGAATAATAAAGTCTACCAACACCTAGCATAACTGCCTAACAATAATAGTGATGTATTGAGCACTAACTATTTGCCTGGCACAATGTTAATCTCATCAAACCACTGAAATTCTATTGGGGTAGGTACTCTTACTAGTCCATTTCAAGAATGCTCTCATCTGCTCAAGGTGACACAAATAATAAATCGTAACTTGACATGTAAATGCTCAAATACTAGCTATTACTGCTAACATATCTTAATAACTGCCACTAACCCCCTAGAATCTAAGAACTGGAAAGGCTCTCAGAGATTATATATATTATATGGAGGGGCAAAAGTAGGTTTAAAAGTAGGTTTACAATTATTCATATGGAAAAACACAGTAATAAATACAAAAATAAACTGTTTCACATACTCAACTGTAAACCTACTTTTGTCCTACCCTGTACTAGTATAATTCAATCCCCTGCTGCCTCATATGCATCTTTCAATGGGTACCTATGGAAGGAGTTAACCTGTATTCAGCATCTCCCAGGTGTCAGGACTTGGGCTAGATGCTTTAGTTTTTTCATAATTTAACTTACCAGCAAGTCTTATAACACAGTTCTATTCTGACTAGTATTTTGCATATGGAGGAACCAGAATTGAGAGTAGCTCAGCTAAGCAGTAGGAGTCACGTTCAGTCTGGCCTTTCTCCAAGCCCTTTGCCATCAGCCACCATTTTCAGAAAATCTAAATATGCTAAAAGGAAAGAGCAAGATGCTTTTCCCCTAAGTGAAGTCAATAATTGGATTTAACCTCAAGTTCTGCTTTGCATGTATTTGACCAGGTGCTACTGTATTTCTGCTCCAATTTCAAGTCCTAAGAGTTAGTCTGAGCAAAAGCATTGTTAAGCCATACATCCCTCACCCCATAACATTAGGGAATTATATGAATCCTTAGAAAAAGAAATGGGCCTAGATATTCATGTCTTTAGACATCCCTAAACCCCATAGCAAGTCAGGCAAGATAACCAGAAAAACAAATGTCCAATTGGTCTAATATCTGTTCTCAATGGTATCAAAGGGACAGTCACCATTCGAATCAGATTGAGATATCCAAAGCAGCAGCTGCCTTTTTAAAAAAATATGTATTTTTTTATTGATTTCAGAGAGGAAGGGAGGAGAGAATCATTGATTGGCTGCCTCCTGCACGCCCCATACTAGGGATCAAGCCCCCAACCCAGGCATGTGCCCTTGACCAGAATCGAACCTGGGACCCTTCAGTCCGCAGGCCGAAGCTCTATCCACTCAGCCAAACCGGCTGGGCAGCAGCTGCCTTCTTGAGAGGACATCCAGAACTAAGCCCTGAGGGTGAGGTGATCAACCACAAAAAAATAACAAGGTGGCTCAGGTTCCAAAAAGGATCCTACACTACTTTGGGAAAGAACAATGAAGTGACAACTCTGCCCCAATAGCAGTATCTAGAAAGGCTGAGATGAGGCTGGCTTGCAGAGCCCATACTAGACCCAGAGGAGAGACAGCCATAATATTTAGGTTCACAGAGACATTAAAGATTAAGCCAGTTATGAGAAGGATGTTATCACAATAGCTCACCACATTATGACAGACTGCACAGTATTCTCTCCAGGTTAAAAATACTATGAATGCAGATTTCTCTCTGTTATGACCCTGCAGGGCTTAGGCATGATGAATTCCTTGGCTTTGTCCACTTAAGATAGACCTTTAATGGTACTGTGAGGTCATCAAGTGGCAAATGCATGGCCGATTGCTACTTCTGCTAGGTCAGCTTCGGGTGGAGTGGACTGGCTACAAGCTCCTCAACAGAAGGTAGGGACCCACCTCATGAGAGCGGAATTTGGTGTCATCCAGTTTACGCAGGGCATATTCCATGTCTTCTTTTCTGAGATACTCAACCATCCCCATTCCATCCTTCTGCACATCTGCGTAACAGACGTCTCCAGCTTCTCGCATGTGATCCTTCAGGTCCTGCCAGCTTCCTGAGGGAGGAAGTCCTAGGTATGGAGAACAGAAGAGGCCAATCCTTCAGCTGTGTGAAATGCCCTGTTAAGAGCCAGCAATACCTCAGGTCCCTTCTCCATCACTACTTTTAAATCCTGAGAGTTCCCAAATCACAAATCTGGATAAGGGACACGAAATCAAAGAGCACTAAGGTATAGGTGGCAAACCACCTTAAGAAGCTAGTCCTAGAGCCCTAGCTGGTTTGATTCAGTGGCTTGCGAACCAAAGGGTCCGGGGTTCAATTCCAGTCAAGGGCATGTAATTCGGTTGCAGACTCCTCCCTGGCCCAGGCCTTGGTCGGGGCTTGTGCAGAAGGCAACCAATCCATGTGTTTCTCTCACATCGATATTTCCCTCTCTTCCACTTTCTAAAAATCAATGTAAAAATATCCTCAGATGAGGATTAAAAAATAAATAAAAATAAATATGTAGAATCAGATATTCTTTAAAAAAAAAGAAGCTAATCCTAGGCTAATCTTCCAGAACAAGCCTTCCCAAGATAGCAGGAAGTCCATCTCATTATAGTTTTAGTATCTTTTGAGAATTCATAGCCTCTTTTTCTTTGTCCCTCAATTAATACCAAACTCCCAAGACTTTGAGTTCTTTATTCCATATGAAATATTTCAGTACCAATCAATGATTTCTTTTTTTAAAAAATATATTTTTATTGATGTCAGAGAGGAAGGGAGAGGGAAAGAGAAACATCAATGATGAGAATCATCGATCGGCTGCCTCCCACATGCCCCCCACTGGGGATTGAGCCCGCAATCTGGGCACATGCCCTGACCAGGAATCAAACCGGCAACCTCTTGGTTCCTGGGTCGACGCTCAACCGCTGAGCCACACCCGTCTGGGCAATCAATGATTTCTTGCCTGACAGGGTTCCCAGGACATGGGAATTTGAAACCATCCAATGAAATAACCAAAATGTAATGGAAGTTAACAAAAATCTAAAGTTTTGGTTTTTTGTAGGTGTGACTAACTGACAAACATCTCTTAAGAGATCACCAATATTCTTCAATACAGTGGGGGAAAGGTAAGACTCAGACGCTAAAACTACCGGGAAGTCATACAACCCTACCTGATGTCATGAAAGGGATGTGTGCTCCTGCTCTCAAAGGCTGTGTTTACCGCTCACAGCTCAGGACTGCAGCCATTTCCTAACAGTTTTCTAGGCAGGATTTCAGAGCAGCATGGAGAGGAAAAAACAACTGTATGACTTCTTGAAGGAGGGAACAGAGTCCTGGGGTTAAAAAAATTAAGAAGGCCCTGGCCAGTTTGGTTCAGTGGATAGAGTGTCGATTTTCGGACTGAAGGGTCCTGGGTTTGATTCCAACCAAGGGCACATGCCCAGGTTGCAGGCTCAATTCCCTATAGGGGGTGTGCAGGAAGCAGCCAATCAATGACTCCCTCTCATCATTGATGTTTCTCTCTCTCCCTCTCCCTTCTTCTCTAAGATCAATGAAAATACGTTATATAAAAAAAAAAGCCCTAGCTGGTTTGGCTGTGGACAGAGTGTCGACCTGTGAACTGAAGGGTCCCAGGTTTGATTCCCAACAAGGGCACAAGCCGGGTTTGCAGGCTCAATCCCCAGTTGGGGGCGTGGGGGGGGGGGGCGTTCAGGAGACAACCAATCAATGATTCTCTCTCATCATTGATGTTTCTCTCTTCCTCTCTGAAATCAACAAAAATGTATTTTAAAAAAATAAAATTAAGAAGGGACACAATAGGCCAGTGATGGCGAACCTATGACACGCGTGTCAGAGGTGACACGCAAACTCATTTTTTTGGTTGATTTTTCTTTGTTAAATGGCATTTAAATATATAAAATAAATATCAAAAATATAAATCTTTTACTATGGTTGCAAATATCAAAAAATTTCTGTGACACGGCACCAGGATTAAGTTAGGGTTTTTCAAAATGCTGACACGGCGAGCTCAAAAGGTTCGCCATCACTGCAATAGGCAGACATTGAGTATCACTCTTAAGCACAATGGGAATCAGCTGTGATTGTGATATTCACTAGAAAAAGGTGCCAGGCTCCCCAAGACATTTTACTCCACCAGGGCCCTAAAACACCCACAAAATGTGCAAAAGCCCCCAGGTCTTTACCAGTGTTGTTATTTCAAAAGATGAATAAACCTGAGCATATTATTTTATCACTTGTCAATCTAGATATTTTGTTCTATATTCTGAAATACAATCTGTAAGACACTAAGTTGTTTTTCTTATTTTATACAAGAGAGGCTCCTGTCACCACCACTGGGCTCACCAGCCGTGAGCCCGGCTTCTGAGCTTCTGGGCTTCTGGCTGAGCGGCGCTCCCCCTGTGAGAGCGCACTGACCACCAGGGGGCAGCTCCTGCATTGAGCATCTGCCCCCTGGTGGTTAGTGAGCATCATAGCGACTGGTCATTCTGCCGTTCAGTTTCTTTGCATATTACCCTTTTATTATATAGGATAAGCCCAAAACCACCACAAAAACTGGTCTTTTTTCAGGATCCACAGCTGGGTAAGTTGTTTAAATCTGGCTTCTGGAATATCTTTTCAAGTCCAATATCATGGTACATTAAAAAAAAACCCCAGCCCTGGCCGGTTTGGCTCAGTGGATAGAGCGTCGGCCTGCAGACTGAAGGGTCCCAGGTTCAATTCCAGCTAAGAGCACATGCCCAGGTTGTGGGTTCGGTCCCCAGTGTGTGGCGTGCAGGAGGCAGTGAATCAATGATTTTCTCTCATCATTGATGTTTCTATCTCTCTCTCCCTCTCCCTTCCTCTCTGAAATCAATAAAAATATATTTTTTAAAAAAACAAAACACATTTATGTTCTAACAAGGCTACTACTGGTGCAGTTTCATTTGCAAGATACCTGCCTCACTGGCAAGCCAGGGCAGGGTTTCAGACTGTCAGTGTGCATAGGCTAAGGGAAAAAAACAACCCATGTATGCCATGCACTGAAGAATAACAGCTAACATTTCTTGAGGCCAGACTGTGCTAAGTATTTTACATGCATCATCTCATTCAGTTTGAAAGAAACATACCTGAAACAAGAACTCGGAAATCAGATCTTCTTGTAGGAGGTCCATTCCTCCCACCACGGGGCCACCCACCCCGACCTCCATAAGCTCTGGGGAACTCCACACGAAGTCGACACTGGCCATAATCATAACCATTCCTTCCATAAACTGCATCTTCAGCATCTCTGCAAAGAAAAATTTGGTGTTAGTGCTGCTCAGGAGGCTGAATGACTCCCAGTGAGGGGCATAAGTAACAAGTATGAAAGGAAAACCTAGAGTGAGAAAACAAAACAGGATCTTGATGCAATACTGCTTTGAAGACTTTTCATAATATTGGAATTAAACTTTACAGCTATCACACCCGGGGTTTTCTAGGTATGAAATGATAATGAATGGGTAAACAGATTACTTATAGGAGGACTAATTTAGAAACAAAAAAAAAGGAATAAATTGCCGAAATCGGTTTGGCTCAGTGGATAGAGTGTCGGCCTGCGGACTGAAAGGTCCCAGGTTCTATTGCGGTCAAGGGCATGTACCTTGGTTGCGGGCACATCCCCAGTAGATGTGCAGGAGGCAGCTGATCGATGCTTCTCTCTCATCGATGTTTCTAACGCTCTATCTCTCTCCCTTCCTCTCTGTAAAAAATCAATAAAATATATATTTAAAAAAAAGGGAATAAATAGATGACCGATTTTGCCAATAAAAGTGTTTAACTTTGGAGTGCAGTTTCTCAAAATGCATACCACACATTAGTCCTTTAATATTCTTCGACAAGGCCTAGTATCATCAAGTCTATAGAAAGAAAAACCCATTTAAAAAGAAAGCTCAAGCCGAAACCGGTTTGGCTCAGTGGATAGAGCATCGGCCTGCGGACTGAAAGGTCCCAGGTTCGATTCTGGTCAAGGGCATGTACCTGGGCTGCAGGCACATCCCCAGTAGGAGATGTGCAGGGGGCGGCTGATCGATGTTTCTCTCTCATCGATGTTTCTGACTCTCTCTCTCCCTTCCTCTCTGTAAAAAACCAGTAAAATATATTTAAAAAAAAAAAAAAAAAAAAAAGAAAGCTCAAGCCCTAGCTGGAGCGGTGGCCTGCAGACTGAAGGGTCCAGGGTTCAATACTGGTCAAGGGCACATGTCCGCATTGTGGGCTCAATCTCCAGTAGGGGGCATGCAGGAGGCAGCCAATCAATGATTCTCTCTCATCATTGATGTTTCGATCTCTCTCTCCCTCTCCCTTCCTCTCTGAAATCAATAAAAATATATTTAAAAAAAAAAAAGAAAGCTCAAAAGACAAATGCAATTTAGTTTTGTGAGGAACATAAAACTCCCTCAAGCGTATGTTTCAGCATGGTTTGGAGAAGTTGTCAAGACCACTATCTGGGTACAATTTCCCCAAAAAAGATAAAGTTACTCTTAGTTTTTTGTAGGCTCTAGGACAGTTAGGAACACTAAACTGACTCTCCAGGACTGGATGAGAGAATGGCCTCGGGGCTTGGTGGACAAGCTGAGCTGAAGAGATACTAACGAAGGCCTCATTCAGTTGTCACAGGCACGTGTCACTTATCAAGATTTTAGTCCTAGAATTAAAAGCAAGGAGACCACATCCAGGGCCACCCTGGCTGTATTTATAATGCAGTGGCAGAGAGGCAGCCTGCTAAGGTTTAAAGCAGACTTTTAGCACAATCATTCTTCTGTTCTTTACGAGTAGCTGTCTCTGGGTAAGTAGTCAAGTTTTCACATCTTAATCACTGATGTCTTTCTCACAAGGTTACTCTTAGGATTAAATAAGATCCTATGTGTGCGGTGCTTTGCTTGAAACTTGGCAACTAGTGATATCAAATGGTAGCTTTTCTATTATTAAAGAAATGAGGGAAGAGATAATGATGTTGCATATTATACAGTAAGTTTGTATTCCAAAAGGGCAGAACAGGGAATTCAAGTCCTACCCTGATTCCTTACTAGCACTCTCTTTATCAATTATCTAAACCCTCCGTTTCCTCGTCTGTAAAAGGTGATTAACAATACCCATCTCAGAGGCGGAAAGTGCTAAATGCCGAGCACGGTGGGTCTGCTCAGAACCACACCGACCCATGGACGTTACCCCTGGACAGAGGGAGGTGTGAAATGCCTGTTCCATTTCTGAGGCAAATGGCAGCCAAAGCCTCAGGGTGCTTCCTGCCTTCCCACCTCAAATGCTCCCCTCGCCCCCAACCACACGCCCGAGGAGCAGGGCACCGCGGCCAGTCCTTCCGGGGCGGCTCTGGAAGTCCCCCGTCTCCCCCGGGCGAGCGTCTCCCCCGGGCGAGGGCGCACGAAGCTGGCAAAACCACGAAGGGGGCCCAGCACTTCACATCCTGGGGTCCCTCCGCGTCCAGCGGCGCCTCCCTCACGCGAGAAGGCGAGTGCAATGAGAGACCCTCCGCGAGTGCAATGAGAGACCCTCCGCCAGCTTCGGAAGCTGTTCCAGATCCTCGATGCTTTTACAAGGACAAGCCCTAACCTCGCGGGGCGGGGCGCGCGGACGGAGAGCGGTTCCGTCAGGGACCCTGTGCGGCCCCCGAAGGCATCCACAGCCCCGCGTGTGTCCCCTGTCACTGCGGGTCCGGGCGGAAGGGGCGCAGGGGGGCGCCCGGCCGCTCCCGCTCTTGGCCGAGTCCTCCCCCGCCAGCTCCGGGGACGAGGTGCTCAGGCCGCTGCCCCTGCGGGGCGCCGCTCCAGCCGTGAGGCCGAGATGACCATCTGCACCGTCCCTGACGCCAGGTCAGGCGCGCTCGGACTTTCCTGAGACTCAGCTTTTAGATTTTGAAGTAAAAAACAAAAACAAAAATAGAGGAAGTGACGACGGCGCCAAGGACGGCTCGGAGTCGAAGGGAGAGGAGGCTACAGCTCTCCACCTGGGGGCGCTCGGAGGGTCTGCGCGGAGGGGGGAGGGGAGGCTTCGGGAGGGGGAGGGGAGTCTGGGGAGGGGGAGGGGGAGGAAAGGCGGGGGCTCGGGACGCGGGCTGGGCGGAGCGGGCCTCACCGGGGGTCCTCGAAACGCACGAAGGCGAAGGGCACCAGGCCGTGCCGGTTCTTGAGGTCGATCTCGCGGATGCGGCCGTACTTGTAGAACAGGTCCTCCAGGTCCTTCTCGCGCACGTCCGTCGGAAGGTTCCCCACGTAGACGCGCCCGTCGCCCTCGCCGCCGCGCTCGTCCGCCCAGCCCGACATCCGCACCCCCCGACGCCGCGGGCCCGCCGCAGCCCACGTCGCCGCCGCCGCCTCCTCAGCCGGGGTCCCCCCGCAGCGTCCCCGCGGGCTCGGAGGCGCTCAGCCGCACAGCATTGTGGGAACGCGGAGCGGAAGCGAAGGGGTCGGAGGAAGCCAAAGGAATCCTCTTAAAGGGGACGCGGCTGCGAGGCTGGCGCGTGCGCACTGGCCCGCGGACCCCTGTGCGGGCCGGAGGGCTCCTGGGCGTCCAAAGGGAGGTCGTGGAGTCCAGCTAATGGGGTTCAGTTCCCAAAGGCAGTTCCCTCACTAGCCGCGTGCACGTGGGCAAGTGACAGGCTCCCTGGGCCTCAGTTTTCTGCCTCTGTCGCGCCGCCTACCTCAGGCGTTTGTGAGCTCCCGCCAGTGTCCTGCGGGCTGTGCGGGGCGGGGGGCGGGGGAGAGTCAGGCCGGGCTGACCCCGCTGCGCCTGGGCCTGTCTCCGGCGGCTGGGCAGGGCAGGGCTGGGCAGGGCAGGGCCGTCGCGGCCCTCAGCCTCAGGTCAGTAGCCTCTGGGCCTCTCTGTCCCCATTTACAGTTGCTTAGAGCCCTGGCTGGGTGCGCCGTGGTTGGAGCGCACGCCCGCACACCGAAGGGTCGTGGGTTTGATTCCCGGTGGAGGGCAAGTGCCTAGGGCCTAGGGGTGTGGGTTCAATCCCCGGGCCGGTTGGGGTGCGTGCGGGAGGCAACCAGTCCATGTGCCTCTCACATAGATGTTTCTCTTTCCCTCCCCACCTCCTCCCTCCTGGCCTCCCTTCCATCTCTAAAAATCAGTGCATCCCCGCCGGCGTGGCTCAGTGGTTGAGCATGGACCTGAGAACCCGGAGGGCAGGTTCCATTCTGGGTCAGGGCACCGATCCCCAGTAGGGGGCGCGCAGGAGGCAGTCGTTCAATGATTCTCATCCATGTTTCTCTCTCTCCCTCTCCCTTCCTCTCTGAAATCAATAAAGAAATATATATTTTTAAAAATCAATGGAAAAAACATCCGTGAGTGAGGATTAACAACAAAAAAGGGAATAAAAATTTACAAGTTATTATCCAGTTCTATATAATACTATGAATATATATAATACTAGGAGTATATGTAATACTATGAGTATACACTGAGTGGCCAGTGTGTATACCAGGGGTGGGCAAACTTTTTGACTCGAGGGCCACAATGGGTTCTTAAACTGGACCGGAGGGCCGGAACAAAAGCATGGATGGAGTGTTTGTGTGAACTAATATAAATTCAAAGTAAACATCATTACATAAAAGGGTACAGTCTTTTTTTTTTTTTAGTTTTATTCATTTCAAACGGGCCGGATCCGGGCCGCGGGCCGTAGTTTGCCCACGGCTGGTATATACCCACTGGTAGATACAAACGTTATTATGACCACCTGACATTTGTAGGCAAATTAGCTATAATTTCGTGCTGAAGTTGCTAGAGGGCCAGACCATTATAAATAGGGAAGCAGGTTGTTTACGAAAGTAGAAGTGAT